AGGCAGATGGTCAACAGTGTCTAGGAAATGTAAACCTAGTGGCAATTGTGTGATATTCTTGTAAAATTCCTGAAAATGAGGTCATGAGGTAATGTGGTTACTATGGAAACCAGGAAAGTATATATCCTGGAGGTGAAACGCAAATGGGGGCTGACAATTTGGGAGTCCTGACCCCAAGGCAAGGTGTTGTCTCAAACCCATAAGAAAAAGCTTCTTTGTTCCTACGCCTTTGTCTTGTACCTCTTTTCCTCATGGAGACTGCTGCAACACTTTTTTTTTTTTTTTTTTTTTTTTTTTTTTGTGGCTGGCTCAGCCTGCCCTGGGGACAGAGTTGGCATGGCATGTGGTGCTGGGGATTGAACTACAGTCTGTGCACTTTACCTAAGCTTGCCTAAGCAGGTGCTTTAGATGGCCGAGCTATCTTGCTGGCCCCAACACTACTACTAATAATTATTAATTATCCCGCAGGACTGGGGATTGACTCCGGGGCCTTTGCACTGAGCTACCTCCCCAGCCCTATTCAGCTTTTAATTTTGAGACAAGCATTTACTAAATTACTTCCCGTGTGTCTCGACTTTGGGACGTTCCCGGTTCAGGCTCCTACAGCGCTGGGATAACAAGCGCGTAGCACCACACTTGTTTATCTCAGTGCATCTATCCAGACAGGGGTTGTCACATAAACGAGGCAGGGAGAATTCCCTGTCCACAGCCGACAAGGGACCTTGGTGGCTGTGCCCTCTTGCTCCCACGGAGCACCCCCGCAGTGTCTCCTGCATACTCACCACCTGCATTTGCAGCTGCAGAAGGGATTCTGCTGCCTAGCTGGGACACGCTCTGGATGAGGCAGGCACTCAGCCCTCCTGGGGCCCGGGCCCTGGTGCACACAGCAGTGGCATCGAGTCACATAAGCAGGGAAGGTGGTTGTGGGGATGCGGCGCTCCCAGAAGCCTACAGGTTGTGCCGGGGGCGTGGGCTGAGCTGCACCATGTGGGTGATGGTGACAGCATCTCTGTGAAGGTGGCTGCACCCTGAGAGCTGACGGACGAGCAGGGTGAGCTGAGGATAGCATCCGGGTGCCAGCACCTCCAGTGGGGCAGCAGGGAGGTGGGGCCACGCTGGAGGCACTGATGGAGAGGGCGCCCCTAAAAGGCCAATGGCGGGGAACCAGTGTGTGAGGCAGACAGCAGGGGCCTGACAGGAGGAGGAGGAGGTATCGGCCCCAGTGCGCAGCAGCCCCCAGATCTGTGGCCGAGGTGCCAGGAAGCAGCCTGTGTATTCATCTGCTCCTGCACTCCTGCTGCTTCTGCTCTTAGGCAGAATGGGGGCTGCAGTGGCAGGCAAAGGAGCTCACAGGAGACCGCGAAGACTCGGGGTTCTCCAAGCGCCACTGTCCCCACCAGGACGATAACCCCAGCCCATCCTGAGCCTGGGGACACCAGTCAGGTCATGTGATCTTTTCCACTTTTGACTCGAGGGCTTCCAATTCACACAGCTAGTATGCTGGATCACAGACTGCTTGAATTACCCAAGATTACCCAAGGGTAAGACAAATTATACCATTAGGACTGAGCCAAACTTAAATGCAGCACATCAGCTATGAGCACGTTCCACTACTGAGAAGGAGGGTGAAGGATCTAGAACCTGCTGGCTCCTGAGCAGACTGAGGATGCCTTGCTAAAATGTTGCGGCCCTGCAGGCTGTGGGAGTTCAGGCCTCCTCCTTCCTCCTACCCTGGGTCCCGCCAGCCACCTGAACACTCCGGCCTCAGCCCACCCTCTGGTCACTCCCGCCTGCCCACAGGTGCTTTGCAAATGGCATGCACCAAATGGTAGTGCATGCCTGTAATCCCAGCACCAGGGAGGCTGAGGCAGGAGGAGCACTGTGAGTTTGAGACCAGCCTGGGCTACAGAATGAGCCAGCCTGAGCTGTATAGCAAGACCCTGCCTCTGTCTGCCTCCGTCTCCATCTCCCTTCCTTCCCTCCCCTTCCCTCCTACACACACACACACACACACACACACACACACACACTGCAAATGCATTTCTGGGAGGCAGACCTCCTCCCTGCAGTGCGACCTCCTTGTCCCACCCCAGCCTCACCTTGGCCCAGTATGTATAGCACCCCTCAGAGACCACTTCTTTCACAGCACTGGTTCCCGAACCTGCCCTGCACAGTGACTGGAAACCCCACACTGTGTCTTTGCTTCCTTTTCTATCTCATTCTGGGAGATGTAAAGCCGGCGGGGAGTGGTGAGGAGGTGGATGAGTCCCTGCCAGTGCGGGCTGGACTGTGCTCTGAGTGTGACACCAGACAGACACCAGTGGGTGTCCCTCCTCCCTGGAGCACACCTAGGCCCCCTCTCTACCTCATCCCACCTTACTCCACCTCGAGCTCTGCTGAGGTCCAGGGGGCCCACACTTGTTCTTCGAGACTTAAGTTTCCCTCCACCACCAAAGGAAAAGAGCTACTGTGCTTAGACCCGCCACCGCCTCCTCTTGCTGCCCCGGCCCCTGAAGAGGTGGCCTCGGGCCCATCTTGCGCTGTGCCCCACCCCACCCCGCACCCCCTGCTGCTCCTTCCAAGGCCCAGAGGGTGGCAAATGCTGATCGGTCCCAAAGTCAGCAGGGCTGGTGGCAGCAGCAGAGACATCAGACAGCACGACCCACCTCCCACCGCCTCACGCCCTGAACCAGGGCTGCCAGATTACACAGCCCTCGCAGGATGCCCACCTTGTGTCCCCTCCTTCATCATCACCTCAGACCCAGGGCACCAACCTCCCGTTCCTGCTGTCTGTGCCGGCAGTGACTTAACTTCCCCCGGCAGCATTACTGACCTCCTACTGCTCTTGGGCCTGGGCTTGATTCTCCCACGTGTCTCTGGGGCCACCTCCACCCCAGCAAATTCTTCTAACTTGAGCAGTCCCACCCCTGTTGAGGACATCGACACCCTGATTCCTGACCTCTGCTCTCGGCATCCACCCCCATGGATCCACCCGGCACCATCTTGCTCAGCCTGGTCTGCGTCCCCCAGTGGCTCTGAGGGCCACCAGAGTTTGGACACCATGGACTCTGAGAACAGGCATCCACTGTAGGCCATGTGGGAAAAGCAGCTGTGTTACTAGGACCACACCTCATATTTATCAGAAATGAACACACACAAAACCGCCAAAATGATGCCGAGAAATCACCTAGTACATCTCACTTCTTTAAGACAAGAATATCACCTCTGCTGAACCTGTGGTTGATGAAATCTGTGCCTGGTCTCTGGACTGAGGTAACTGCAGGGAGCTTCTAAGACCCTTGTGAGTGACAGGCATTCGCTTGCTGCTAAGGCTCATAGCTAATGTCCCCTTAAGCCCTCATCTGATCATGGCAGGACCTTTGTAAGGGACCTGGACCACAGGAGCACTATGGCTAACGTGGGGTTAGGAAGAGGGTTGCAAGAGGAGTGTCACCTAGGGCACAACGCCGAAGTGCTTGACCCATTTCCAGCTCCCCCCTGGATCTCTCCACATCCCCTCTGTCCACTGTGCCACCCCCTGCTGCCAGGCGGCAGGACTGAAGCATCTACAAACTGTGAGCTGAAATCCTGTAAACTTCTCCTTTAAGTTGTGGGTATCCTGGCAGCGATGGAAGTGACTAAGACACCTAATGGGTAATACCGTGACTCCTGGTGACTCCTTCCACTGCTGCAGCTTGGAAGCCAGCCCTAGAAAGACCAAGCAAGCGGTGCAGCCCATTCTCTGGGCTCAGTCACATTGGTCGTCCTGAGAAGCGGAGCCCTGGGTGGCAGCGCCGCAGGGCTCCCAGTCTGTGAGCACCGGGGCAGTCAGAGCAACGGACCCAGATCCCGTCCTGTCCCTGCGCCACCCCACCCTTGCTTCTCTTCATTGCGCTGCTTCTAACTGGAATCCCTGGCAATGCAACTCTAATGGCGAGGACAGCACTTTCCTGAGCTCAGGGAGCCCCTCTGGCCACCCATCAAACCTGGATAAAGTCATGGCAAACATTACATGCAGATCAGTCACCCAGGAGCGCAGGCGACCTGGGACTCCTGAACTGTGGCTCACGTCTGATGGCGCTCTCTCCCCTCAGGGTCTGCAGCAATTCCTGGTAGTCAAGGCCAGAGATGCTGAACACTGGGTTGTGTGCTCCACACAGGGGTGTCTACTGTGGATGGGGAACCCACCTGGGAGGCATCGCTCATGGGCACCGGGCCTTGCCTGCGGTTAGGAACGAGCCACACACAAACACCAAGGACTCGGGATTAACTTCTAAATCTGAACACATCTGCACATCCTGGCTGGACTGAAAATTACCTGGAGCTCTGCTCTTTCAAGCCATGGTACTTACCAACATTTCCCAGAAATTGGCCCTAATGGGCCGTGGCTCTGAAGCCCCCAGCCCTGGGAGCAGAGCTGGAAATACTACGTGGCTGTCACAGTTTCTGTGCAGGCGGAGCTGCTCCAGCGAGGGAAGCTGGAGGCCGAGGCGGAGACCTTCTAGGGTCCAGCCACTGACAGACAACGGAGCCCAACGCAGGTGAGGCTCAGGCTGCACGCTGCAGTGTCCTCCCACCCTGGTGGCGAGGGGTTAGTTTATGTGGTAATCACTTAAAAGTTTCTAAAAACTTCGCCTAGTGGAACAGGTACAATCTTCTTCCATCAACATTGTAGACAAAAAGTAATTTCAGAACAGCAGCTTTGTTATTTACGTATGAGTTGGACATGACTAAACCTGCACACTCAATAAGCATGCACTTCCGTGTCACACCAAACAATTACTACTAATAGTGAACATGATACTTTAGAGCATCAGTCAGTCTGGTAGAGGTAGTACCTAACAGTCCCAGCTAACAGGCGTCTAGGAGGCCACCACTTGCAAAATCAAAGTCTACGCAGAGCACTTCCTGCGTGGAACACGGTACGGCCCAGGGTTCTACCTGGGCCCACTCCAAAGCCTCCCCCTTTGGTGTGCTGCAGGCCGCCCGCCACCCCTCACCTGCCATGTCGATGGCGAAGGGCCGGTCCCCTCTCCAGCCGGTGTACCAGCCGACCACTCTGCCGTTCTCCACCAGGGGACGCTCGTAGCGGCGCCCGCCCACCAGGCCCACCGGCCAGACGGACACCTTGCGCGTGGTTCTCATCTAGGAAAGGGGAGAGACATGGGTGTTGAGCTGCCTTAGGGAAAAGGAGGGGGAAAGGGGAATCAAGGGGACCCCAGAGGCGCAGGTGGAGGGCGCAGGCACAGGTTATATTTTATTATTATTTTTAAAATGTATTTAGTACAGGGTCTACAGGGTCTCACTACACAGATCGGACTCCTAGTGATTCTATTTTCAGCCTCCCAAGCGCTGGGATTACAGGTGCGCACCACCACGCTCAGTCTCAACTGCCCTCTCAGTGTGCCCCATGGGCGGGCCGGCACGGCACACTGGGGATCAAACCCCAGCTGCTTCGCTCTGCCTAAGCAGGCGCTTTAGTCCTCTGAGCTATCTGGCCAGCCATGGGCACAGGTTTTAAAGGCTGCTGATGGCCACAACCTGACACCTTTGCGTGGATGCCCCAGCCTGGGCTCTGCCCTCAGAATCGGCTCTGCTGGTGGCTACGGCTTGGGAGAAATCAAAGGTGCAATATGTGCACATGCCTACGTGAAGCTAAGTGCGTCTGTCAGACATTCCCTCTGTGTTTCCAGGTTTGCACCTCTCAAGTGAGGAGGTCTGATCTCCCTTCAAGAAACCTTGTGACTCAGGGCAAACCCAAACTTCAGGGAAGCCACCGGGACATCCTGTCTCAGCTTCTAATTTTGTTGCTATAGATACCAGGACATCTTGGCTCCCAGGGACACTGATAACAAGATACGGAAGGGACAGCAGACATCCTTCAAGGGACAGGAAGAGACACACACACAGCCTAAAAATACACCCATTGCTCTAGGAGAACTGCACCAGCTGCCAAAGGAAAGGGCCACGCAGGGCAGTTGGTGAGGTCAGTGTTCTTCACGCGCAGTTGTACACAGCGGAGACCTGAAGTGCCTCGCTGTTCTCTGGCAGGTTTTGGGGGTACTGAGAGTCAAACTTGGGACCCAAGCATGCTAAGAAGCGCACTATGATTGAGCTATATCCTTGGCCCTTTCTTGAGTTAGGGTCTTGCTAAGTTGTCCAGGCTGGTCCAGAATTCCTGATCCTCCTGCCTTAGCCTCCTGGAGCCTGGGATACCATCCTTCACCATCCTGCCGAGCTCCAGATTTCACTAAGGAAAATGCTCACAAGAAAGCCTGCTCACAGCAGGCAACAAATTTAGACTCAAGCTCCTTCTCTCAGCTCACAGAACAACTGTGGCAAACAGCAGAAGCCGCCACTCACCGGGCAGATGCACCCAGCACTTGGCCAGCGAAGAGCAGGTCTTGTGGGTGAGCTGATTATTATTTCCACACCAATCCTTCAGTTTTGTTACAGAATTGATTTGAGTCACGAGCAGGTAACCAGGGGTTAAAATAATGATTCTGAGTTGATAAAGTTTATAGATTCTAATTTTTTTTTTTTTTTTTCTCAGTACGGGGCTCAAACTCAGGACCTTGTACTTGCCGGGCAGGTGCCTATGCTGCTGAGCTATCTCTCCAGCCCTGATAAAGTTTTTTTTTTTTTTTTTTTTTTTTTATAAAATTGTTATGAAAGGAAGAAAAGTGATATACTGAGGAAAATACAACCAGAAGTCATACTATTAGCGTAAGGAGACGCTCCGCGAGCCCGGCATCACGAGTGGACTTTATTGTGTCGCAACTTGTTCCAAAGAGGATTTAGCGTATGAAGGCTTCCAGGTCATGAAGTTCACCACACTGGTCTCCTTCAGGCCTGAACTTACCTTTGTCGTTTCTGTCATTGTTTCAGTGAAAACTGCAGAGGCCTGAGACTTTTTTTTAGGAAGGATCCTTTCTAAGGCTGGCTCTGGGCTGCTGTCTGGGAACTTGGCCTTGGAAATACCTCCTACAGTGAAAGGTTTTGCCTGCCTGAGGCCCTGAGAAGGAATGATCTCAGCTGCTTCTCTCTTCCAAATCTGCAATTTATGTGGGCGAGGCGCACCGCCTCTGGGGCAGGCTCCCAGGAAACACTGTGCTCCCAGGGTTCTGGGTGGATTTCTGGGCATAAACACTGTGCACCGTGGCTACTTCTGCTCTGCTGGGGGGAAGGTGACCCCAGCACAGGGACTGAATGTGACTCCTCGGCCCCTGCCTGCCGTCTTCAGTCCCAGGAGCAACTGCCTTTGGAGACAGCAACACTTGTGCAGTGCTGACCTCCCAGCCACGAACATGGTCCTTACCTCCCTTCGCTTAAGTCCCTCAGCGATTTTTCACAGCTGCATCCTAGATCTTTCATGTCCCCCCAAATATAATCCCCTTTCTCTAACTCCACCTTCAGGGTCCTGCTCCCATACAGACCACAGAAAATGAAAACATTTTGATTTTGTAACCTTATGTCAAACATACAAACAAATCTGGACCAATAAAAAACACACAGATGTGGTGGCCAGCAGGATAGCTCAGTGGACTAAGGGCCTGCTTAGGTAAACAAAGGGACTGTGGTTTGATCCCAGGCAACACATGCTGTGCTGGCCCCGCCCCAGGGCGGGCTGAGCCAGCCAGAGTCCTCTGGAAGCGGTGTACACCTGTAATCCCAGCGCTGGGGAGGCGAGAAGAGGAGGATCACTATGGGTCCGAGCTGTGCAGTGACACCCATAACAACCAAATACATTAAAAAGAAAAACAGATATAGCTATACATATGTGTCTCTATACTGACATGTATCTCTAGAATACAATTACATGGAGATATATTTCTCTATATATAAATACATTTTTTTTTTGGCAGAACTGGGGATTGAACGGAGACCCTTGCGTTTGCCAGGGAAGTGCTTATTCCACTGAGCCATCTCCCCAGTCCTATATAAATACACTTTTATATACCTTCATTTGCCCCATATTCATGAACAGAATGACTTTTTTATTCGTAAAACACTAAAGACACTATCATGATTTTTTAGGGGAGGGAGGCTAGGATTTTTGATCTCTTGAACTGTTCTTGCCTAGAGTGCTGAATTTCCAAATCCATGGGAAACCGCTGAGCAGGTGCCTTCTTAGAGCTCCACGTCTCCCCGAGACGGCAGCGGGCTTTGCCCGGCAGGTGTCGGTAATTCTCACCACACATTTGAGCCCCGTGTAACTGTGTAACTGGAGGAGGAATGTGCTCCAGTCAGTGTGCGCTTTGGCTGGACAAGAGAGAGGGCCATCATTGAAGAGAAAACAGACCAAAACAAATGGCGAAAGAAGATGAAAAAGCACAATTGCCATTAGAGGGAATAACCTACACCTCTGGAATCGGCGGAAAGCAGCGCTGAACTGTGTCGGAGGGGGCACAGCCTGCTTCGCTCTGTGAAGGTGGGCGGAGGCAGACTCTGGAGATTTGCCCACAGCATGCAGAACGGCCCGGGGCTCCCGCTAAGGAGGCCGAGGGCAGCGGCGCCACATCGTGGCAGACTCTGCTTGCCCCTCTGGGAGCTGCTCAGTGCCTAGATCTGTCTGCAAATTTTATTTTGGAACTGGGGATTGAACTCAGGCCCTTGCACTTGCCAGGCAAGTGCTTATTCTACTGAGCCATCTCCCTGGCAGACTTGTTTAGAGGGTTGGAGGTTAAGGATGAGGCATAACCATCCGAATGTAGTGACAGGCAGGAAGCTATTCGCAGGCATGCTCTGTGTTTAAGTTTGTCGTCTAAGTAGTTAAAACCCTGAAGAGATCCACTCGGCTTTCCAGTCCACATGGCTCTGAGGTCCAACATGTGGTGCTCCATACAGAGTGAGACCGAGCCCCAACACACGTGGCCACGGTCCTAGGAAGCATGCCTGGCACTTCAGAGGAAAATAGCACAGCTATTTACAGAATGTCTTCGTTCCCCTTGGGATCCAGGCTTTGCTCCGCATTCGTTCTTTTCACTCAATCCGTGTGCTTTAAGGGCTCCTTGGCAGCTACCTTCTCTGCCGGGAGGGAAGTGCTATAAGGAGTTACTATTAGAAAAGTAGGTACCCTCGCAGAATGGGAATACTCTCAGTACTTAAATCCTTTTTTGCTTTCTTACTATAAAATAGCAGTTAGGCGACAGTCACAACTTCTGGCGCCTGGTCTGAGCTCCAACCTAAAACAGGGATAAACCAAGGGGATACTAGGAGGAAGCAATCCACATACGCGTACGAGTCTCAGCATCGCAGCAAGCCGGGCCCCAAGGCGCTCTCTGCCTTGTCATTCAAGGTCTGAGCCTCGTGCTATGCTTCCTCCTCCTGCTGGGGCCTTGCTCTACTCCGACAGGACTTGTGCAGCAGTGTCTGCCTGTCCAACTTACCAAGAACCCCTCAGACCCAGGGCTACCAAGGACACACAAGACGCAGCCGGAGGAGGGCCACACTCTGCCTGGATAAAGGCTGCTAAGACTGTCGCTGCTTCTTGCAGTCACTTTCTCTAGGAAAAGGAGGTGGCAGGATGCTCACACACTCTCCGCGCCTGGTGGCCCTTACGTCACGGCCAACCCTTCCTCCTACAGCTCTAGGGTGTGGTCCTTTGATCCCTGGACACTTCAGAACATCCCTTGTAGGAGACTCTCAGCCCTCGCAGCAAAACAACACGCATGAAACAAATGCCTTTAGCTCCCTTGCAGACACGCCGAAGGGAAAAGAATAAAGCTCTTGATCTTCTGCAATTTAAAATGCTAGAGGCAACCCCAACAGCCAGGGTTACAGCAGAATGTGGTGTTCTGTGTCCTCTTATGAACTGACTGAAAGAAACACTGGGGATGGAGCCCAGGGCTTTGTGCATGCCAGGCACACGCTCTATGCTGCGCTGCATGCTCGCAGCCCTTGGCATCTTTTGAGAACACTCAGGTGCTCAGGCTGGCCTGCAGTCTACAATCTTCTTGCCTCAGCCTCCCAAGTCTCTGGGATTCCAGGCTTGCACCACTGCGCCTAGACGCAATGACGCACTAGGAGAAATGGGTAACACAATCTTCGCTCAACACTTCACTCCAATACAAGGATCTACTTGGAGATGCAGGGGATTTGAGGACTGGGGCAGAAAATATACAAGAAGATCCAAAAGTAAAGAT